TATTTTTGTTAATACCTTTATTTTTAAATTAAATATTTATAGGAGAGATGTAGTAGTCAAAACATTATACCATGAAATGCGTCATAATTTATTTAGTAGTTTAGTAGAAGAATTTATGTCTAAAAAACTTAAACTTCCAAAACAGTCGTAAGTAATTAATTTTAATAATCATATTTAAAATATTATCAGATGTTTAATGAACAACAAATAAATGTGTATGCTGCTAAGGCTTGAGGAAATAAAAGTTCCAAACAGTATAAGGTCTGTATAATTTTAAATTAGTTGTATAAACATAAAATATTGATATTTACTGTTATTGTATTTGTAGAAGACATGGATCTACTGTATTAAACAAAGGAGCTCACAATCAGATTCATAATGTATCTGAATCAGAAATATTTCTTCGAAATGTACTTGAAGAGTATCCTTCTTTACCGAAGAAAATTCAAAGTGCCATAGATAGGTTTGCTACGAGAAGAGATTTTGAAAATCAAGAAATTCTTAAAATTCAAAATATGTATAACAATAAGCCAAACAATAACACTATTGAAGAAGAAGCATTGCTAGATAATGCTTGGAATACTATTGGCTATATGAACTTAAAAACAGGATCGGATTTCAAGCTGACTGAAAATGAAATAGTTACAATGAAAGATAAATTTGAAAAATACATTAATGTTAAAAATGAGGTTAATTATTATTTATTATTCAAAATACTTAAAATATATACATTTATTAGGTATAATTTAAGTATATATCATATTATATGTATTTATGTAATAGGCTTACAACTTGAAAACATCTTTTAATGAAAAAGTGTTAGGCCTTAAACTACGCAAAATAAGTTTAATACACGATTACAAACAATTCAAGTTTGACGTTTGTATGATACAAAAAGAATTTAATGATCCAGAAATAATGACCCCATCAAATTTTCCTGAAGTTCTATTGGATGAATCTATTGATGTAAGAAACAATATACAATTGTAGTAATTTATTATCATTAAGTTCTAAAGATAATAGATAGGAAATGTAATAATTCATAACATTTATCATAGAAGTTTTGAATATGAAGCACAATATTTTAAAACATGAAGGCTCAGTAAAAACGTATACATCTCCTCATCTCCAGTATTAATATTTATTTTATTTTTGAATACTGTATATCATTGTATTAATACATATTATATAGTTTAAATATTACTATAGTCTACTAAAATATAATTGTATGATGTACATAATTGATTAATTATGATTTAATTATGTTTTAGCCTAGCTTAATTGATTCATTTGAACCTATTAGTCATTGGGATCCGACAGATTTGATTTTAAAACCAAAAAAAAATCATATGTATGAAAATACAATTTTAGATGAGCCTACTCATCTAGAAATTATTATGCAAAATATGAGAAAAGAACAATTGAAATATAGACATATGCGTTTGCATGAAACCATATTAACAAAAATCAATTTGTTTGATGAAGATCTAATAGAATTGGATAAAATGCGAAAAAATATAAAGCTCAGAATTAAATTTCTTGATTTATTGGCTTTAACATTTGAAGAAGAATTGATTATTTTAAATGATTTTGATTTAGTTGAAGATGAATATTTACAGAGAGTATGTGTTAAAATAGGTTTACAGAATGATAAAGTTAATCAAGTAATGTATTTATTTAATAAACTTTTATCAATTAAATAATAATACTAATTAACTAGACGTAATTTTATTTCTTCTAGATACAAAATATTCAAGAAAAAATCAAATATTTGAATGATATTATTAATAACAAGTCAAATATGTTAATAGATATTCAACATACTTTTGAAATGGAAATTCGAAATGATGGATTTGCTAAATATCTTAAAAAAATTTTCAAAAAGAAATTGAAAGTACCTAAACTCAAATCTGATGATGCTGAAGGTTTCTATCATAATATATTTTATTAAATTAATAATAATATTTATTTTATAGTTTCTTGATACTTCCTCTAGAAGTTATCCACATAAGTTATTTGTTTTCATGAAATATTAGGTATGTTAATAAAAAATATTTAATTATTTTTAGATACACTTTCATCTTCTTCATCTGGAGGAAGTGACGAATCTGATTCAGAATTTATTAATGAAAGCGCAGAATCATTTATGGCAATGAGTCGAGAAGCCGTTTTTGATGAAAAAGTATTACCATTAGGTTGTGATCCAAAATTATTTAATATTACATTAGAATTGAGGTCAAAACGATATGAAATCAAAAAAATCATTGAGGATAATAAAAAAAAAATGGATGTTCTTAATACACGTTTAAGTTTATCTTATGAAGAATTTGATGCCCTTGAAAATGAATTAAAACAAAATATAAATGAACTAGAAGCATATCGGGTTAGAATTTTACTTACATAATTTTTGTTTTTTAGTTAGGTATTAGCATATTAAATGTAAGCAAATTTGCTTCTCTAAAACTTGAAAGAATAGATTTTTAGTGACACTTTAATAGAACAACTCAAGTAAGGATAATAATTTAGTATCAAAATAAACATTTATACTCTTAACGAAAAATTGAATGATGACCAAAGACTATAATTATAATGTATTTAATTATATTTAGGTATGATGCATTGGTTTAACTACTATGATACCATTGGTACTAACACATTATTCCAGAAGCTAGCTGAAATAATGTTAAATGTTAGAAGTATCACTATTATTCTTGTTTATTGAATAATTTTATATAAAGTAGAAACGTTAATATTTCGGATTATATTGTCTTCAATATAAAATTACGATTATTTCAAAATATAGTCTGGCAGCAAAATACATAGAATTTTGCTTATAATTTGACAAAAACATTTTTCAAGTTGTATATTATTATATAACTATTCTTTCAAGGATACAATTTTATACACCAGTTCTACTGGTACAAAAGTTAATTTTAATAAATTTAAAAAAAATAATAATTTGATTTAATTTCCTATTTATAATAGTGGATTTATTGATTTTTATATTTATTTAAATTATAGATGAAAAAACAATTGAAACTAAATGATGTTAAAACTACAATTGTATTAAATAAATCTCAAATGACTAAAGCTAAATTATTGAAAAATTGTATCGTATTATATGGAAATGTTATGCAAGATCTAACAAACAGAGTAATGGAGTTAAAAAAAGAAAAAAAAGAGATAATAAATACATTTAAAAATGAAAAATTAGTTGCTAAACAGTTTCGTATGGAAATAACCAAAATGGAGAATATTTTAAAAAGTTATAAAATAGCCATTAAAGATGAGATGATAAAAAAATTTAAAATTGAAACAGACTGGAATTTTTTAGATGAAATGGAAATGACTATAATAGACTTTATGATTATAAACTCTAAGTCCAAGGCCAAAGATACAAAGGAATGTTTCCTTCGAGAAATAAGACTATTAGAAGTATCTATACCTATTACAATATAATATACGATATAGGAACATAAATTTTAGTTATTAACTATTTCAGGAATTGTTTTTTTTCAGAATAAAATCAGCTCTCAAACAGAGTTAATAATTGATTTGTTAAAATGGAATACTTACAAAACAAAAATTTTAAAAGATGTTTGTGAAAACATAAATAAAATTCAACAGTGTTTGGCTGAACAAAAAAAAATAAATGTAAGTAATATTTTTTTCAAATAAGTAGAATATTTTAGCTAATTAAAATGTTAACCCAATTATTTAAATATCTATAACTGGTTTATAATTTATTAGTTTATTATTAACGTTTTGAAAATATTTTTTCTGAAATAATGAATGGTTAACCTATTCTTAAAAGAATTACTTTATATACTTTTACAATTATACATAGAACATTAAAATTTTAACATAATTAAGAAACCAACAATAATTAGAAATTTGTTAACCCAAATTGATATAAAAAAGGGTACCAGAAAGTTTGTACTCTATCATTGACATTGACATTATATGTTTTATTATTCTGATGTGAGATAATTTTACATCAGTTTGGGTCAACCAATTTCTAGTAAATATATGTAGTAAATATTTATTTTCTAATACTTAGATAAAACTTCAAAATTTAACATTGGAATCATCATTTATTATGGAATTAACTACTATTAAACATACACATGACACATTACTAAAACAGAAACAAGACATTAGTGAAAAAATAAACATGTATAAATGTAAAGGCAAAATGTTCCCTCCCATAATAAAACAATCGTGCACCAAGTCAATACAAAATCAGGCAATCAATGACCGGTCCTTAGTTATAACTCCTACTTTACAAGAGGAGAGTGAAGAGTCTTGGACAATTAATGATGAACAACTTACTTACAACATGGAGTTTAATGTTGAACCGAAGATATCAAATTTATCTAAACAATCATTATCACGGTTAACGAAGCAGTCATCAAATTATGATAGTTTTGAAAATATTGATGAAGTGTATGGAACAAACAAATGGATGAATTATTATGATGATGAAGTGATATCACCTGTAAAAGAGGCTGTCGAAGACGTTAGAGAAAATAATGTTTTTAGCAAGATGACTGAATCCGAGAATAGTTTGTCAGATGATAATGAAGTTAATGGTAATCTCAATAATATTCATAGTAACAATGAACCAAAAAATTAACATAAAAACTTAAAGAAACAAAGCTATAAAATAAAATATAAAATATGAATAGTATGTACATTTGTTTTCAAATAATGAATATAAAATAGGTATCTACTTCTTGAATTTTTATAATTTTAGAAAAGAAACTTTAGATTAAATAAAAGTTAATATAATACAATTTAATATGATACCATTAGTATTATCAGATTTTATTTTAGTTTTAGTCAATTGCATTATAAAATTATGTGGGACAAAATAAAAATATTAAAAACTATTATATATTTAACAAAATTATTCTATTTTATCATTTTTATTAATCACAGATTAAATATTGTATATATTAATATATTTGATGTTATTACATTACTTTATAAAAGGATGCATTGCATTATCCTAAAAAAAAAAAAAAAAGGAATGACATAATAATAAAATAACATAATATTATACACACACAAATATGATATTCTTTTTAAGCCCTCGTTTTTGACTTTCCAGCCTTAGTTTCAAATAATTTACGAACAAAATATACTTGTAAAGTTGTTGTTCCCATTATTAACAAAATTTGCATTATAGACCATCTGTTTACATATGTCTTGTTATCAATCAATAGATTATAATCGCGATTTTCTTGACTGCGGACATGGTGTTGATGTTGCAACATGTGATTTATGTTATTTTCAACTGATTTCACGGTAGACTAAAACAAATAATAATAAATACTTTAAATATATTATAGATGAAAAATTTTCAATAGTTTCATACATAAAGTACATAGTTGAAATATTTCATTCATCTAGCAGTAGCAACAACCATTTGAAAAACTGGTGGGTGAATAGATAGTGATATGCATAATAATAATAAGATATACTTATAATACTTAATTTATAAGTTGAAAGTATTTTTTATAACTAAAATGGTAAATAAAAAGATTTTAAATGATTGTGGATACGTGAGATGGATTAAATATGATTTTAACACATTGTATTAGGATTTAGTATGCCACTATAAACAATTATATACTTATTTCAACTAAATGTATTAAAACATGTTTATTTTTATTTGTTTTAATGATTTATTCATAAGAGTTCTATACAAGTATTAGTTAATTTGTAGACTGTACTATTACCAAATTTCAGAAGAACCAATTTTAATTTATAATATACCTAGTTAAATTAAATACAAATTATTTTTGTTTAGATAAACTTCAATAAAATAAGTTATACTCATATTATCAGTTGTTTAAATATGGATAAATAAGTACATATTTTATTTAATGTTCAAACAATTTGATTAAGATTAATTTGTATAACTGATTATTTATAAAATATTGTACTGAATGACTATTTTATTGTGCATTTACTTATAACTGATTTAACTGGATGCATATATGATGCATTGTATTATAGGTTTAATTTTCAAAATACATGTTCATAAAAAATAACAGGATAATTAGGAAAACTTTTTTTAATACACTTTTATATATATCTAATTTTTACTCATTGTACAAACATAAATAGTATTACAATTGAAAACTCTAAATACATAATATAGTATAGTCCGTCAGCACAATTTTCTGTACATAATAAGTATAATCTTTAAATTACAAACATTTTTTACATGGTCACCATTCATAAAATATGTTTTAATAAGGGATTTGTTTCAGTATTTCATCAGATAGTATAGATAATTTTGTAAAATAGGAATATCATTTTAGAATTAAGAAATAGGTCGTAGTACTGCTCATGATTTATGGTTATAATTTGGAGATAGGTCATTTCACTATACAATAATTTATTATTTTATTAATTTAATATTTTAAAATATTTGATTTATTTTTATTATTATAGTAAGAGTAAGTAGATTTGATTTGTTTACCACGAACAGATTTAAATAAAAATTTCAATATTATAGTTATTATTAATAGCATTGATAAAAAGATATTATTGTTTATGGTTTATTAAACTAATTTTTAGCTATTAATGAAATTAAGATATTTTTTATAAGACTTACTGTAAAATTTTCTACGCCGACATTCATATCTTCTATTTCTTTATGATATTCATCCCATTTATCATACCTGAAAATAAACAAGTTAAATAATTTAAATGACACAAATATTTTATTATGGTAAATTATGTTCATTACATCGATAGAAAAAAAATTCTCTGAAAAAAGATAAAAAAAATTAGTTTTTTTAAATTTTATAGATATATGATTTTTTATTATGTTTAATTATATTGTGTATCTATCAATTATAATATGGTTTGTAACTAATTTTAATAAATGAGTTAATAATTTCAATTATAAAATAAAAAATGTACAACAAAACTATATCAGTGACAATTTAGCATACATAAATACCAATACTGGAATGTGGATATAAATGTACGAGAATTTCCTCAGCAAAATGATTTTTAATTCAATTGATTTTATGTATGTACTTATAGGGCATTTTTTTTTTTAGATATAAAATAGAAATACTGTGACAAAATTCTCCATGGTTTTTTTCCTAAATTTCATCATACTAACCTAATAACAGTGATGTACAAATTTACTAATTTGGCAGCAAACTTTGAAAACTGATTATCTATACAAACACTGTAGTAACCTCCTGTGGACTCTTGGTCTTGGTAATCAGAGCTGGCTTTCCACTGATATGGGTGAACGATCTGGCCATTGGGATGTCTGACGGCAAAACCAGCCATCCCATCACCACCTCTTAGTACCTGTTAAAAATAATATAATTATCAATTAAATAATTAGCACCAAAACAGTCACAAATCATTTAAAATCTTTTCATCCATACTTGAGCGCTTGCGTAAAAAGTTGCTCCAGGATTGACAAATTGAAAATAACAATCCTCTTTGCCTGGATCAATGATTACTTTGTAATCCATAGCGACGGCTGGCAAGGTTTCGTACCATGGCGCTGTGGGTTGAACCGGTGGGGGCTGCTGTTCTTGAGCAGGAATTGGCTGTGCTTGGCCATTTACATCGTCCAATATCGTAAAAAACACAGCGACGATATAACATAGACCAAACGTCGATGGCGACAACCAGTGGACTGCTGCACTTTTCTGGCGTTCAGCGACCATAATTGTGAAGTCACCGTCGCAAATTTTTTGGGAACACAACAAACTAGTTTGTGGTAAAAAAAAATGCTCACAGCTGCACGTTTAAAGACATTTTGTCTTTTACTGATGAAGAATGAATCACTTTCACTTTATACGCGAGTCTAAGTCAACCGCTTGGCGCCTACAGGCTACAGTACAGATATACACGACACATCGGCACGTTATCATTAACGTGATATCACAAGTTTTAGTCTACCAGTCAACATGATTTTAATATAATTGCGTGTCATACATGAAGTTCGGAGCGAATTAAATTTGTTCGATTATCAATTAATATTGTTATCTACAGTAAAGTGATTTGAATTCAGAGATGTTAAACAAATCTCTGTTTGAATTAGTGAATTACAATTTACAGTCAACACTCAACAGTACAGATCTTACTTTCTGTAATTGTGGTTTGGACCCAAGATCACGGTTTAAAACATATTTAAAAAAATTTTAAATAAATAAATCAAATTAACAATATTAGTTATGTATTATTGTTATTAGTGTATATTTTAAACATTTAAACCGTGATTTGGATTCCTAAACGTGAAGACTAGGTACATTCTTATGTACCTACATAAGAATATGTTTGACATAAGCGCTTAAGGTATCGTTTGATGTTTCGGTTTTATAAAAAATTATCAATAATATACCTACATACAAATAAAATATATAATTTTAATTAATTGGTTGATTTTTTAATCCAATTTTTTTTACATATTTCATACGATTTATTTCACCATCATGGTATTTCTTTCATTGTACAATTATTTCTCTTGGTACACCTTAATGACACGTTACTGCTGGCCATTTCTCGTAAAAATCTATATTTTTGATCTTTAAATAAAATACACACAACACCTTTATTAGCAATAGTTTTTGTAAAATTAATTTTAACGAATGACGCATACTTTGTTTTATATTTTTGATGATATTGTATAAAAATAGTTATTTTTCTTTATCAAAACACATAATTATGTATCATATTAATCGAATAATATTCCTATATGCGTTTACCATGTATATATTTCAGTGTTTTATAAAGGAGAACTTACATAATAAATTATTAATTATTATATTACATTAAATTTATTCGGTGGTACTGTGGTAGATTAATTTATATTGTACATCTGAACTTGATACAATGAACTACTAGGCCTCGTTATAGGTATCGTTGTAGACTGTAGTTTATGTTTTAATTTATAACTATTATTATACAATTATCGAAAGTACTTATTGCATACAACCCAATATCCATTGATATTAAATTTCTTTGAAATTTGAATAATACCTACCGAAACCAGTTAGATTTGCAGCCATTTAAATTTTCGCTCATCAATAACACAGTAACACTGTATCTATTGTTACCCTTCTACATTTAGTGGTTGTTGGTTAATGATCTCCAAACGGAGTGTACGAATATATAAAATCTTCAAACGTATTCCACGACATAAATGCTGTATCGTAATGGTAAAATTATCAATATAGCAGCAGCTGGCAGATTACGTTACATAAACTTTATAAACTAAAATGAATAGTATTGTTGCGTGCCAATATCAGATCCAGACTCAGGGTGTTATTTAAATGTAATTTACAACTCTTAAGAACAATAATGTGTTTATTACGTATAAATGAAGTACATGTAACTTATACAAAAAGTGGCTGAGTGTCGTGAAGTTGCTCAGGTCTTCGTGGCTCTGGTATAGTCTGGTACATCTGCCTCTGTTGGTCTCTGGACTCCCTTATATACAAAGAAGTCTCTTGTTGTTGTAGTCAACAACCTTCTTCTATTTCATATTAATTCTTGGAATTGTTTTCACATTTGAAAACAACAATCTCCAGGATATCTTCTGTTCTTAAGTGGCAATTTGTGGAATTGTAATAATACATTTAAACGACCTCGACATTTTAACAACTGCCATTATGATGATGAATTATAATGGATTATTATGCTTCTAGCAATATTATTATATATTTTATTATATATAGGTACTATCGTAGCATATCTCGTAGCCCATAACAGTATATAGTATATAGAGTGGACGATTTTAAGTTGACATTCCTAAAGCAAATGACTAAGGAAAAAAATAGAAGTTAGTTAAGGCCGTTTATGGCTTTGTTGATTAATTTTCATCTAATAAAATATCTCAACTTGAATTAATAAAAAAAGTGTATCCCAATAGTGTATCTATTTGTTAAAGCCAATTTTGTGTTAGTTTGGTTATTAAATACAATTCTTAACGCTTTAAGTTAAAGTAAGAATTTGCAATTTCTAAAAAATAGTCTGTAATATTTAAAAATTATTTGCTAAATGTTGATATCATTTTTAAGTCCAAAAGGAACAATTTAATTTAATTTGTTTAACAAAGTTTTATTTTCCTTTTTTACGAAAATTGTAGGTATATTTTTAAGTTAAATTAGATCTAATTTCATTAATTTATTTTACTTTAAAATATTATATACTATGATTATTACTAATTCCTATTTTTTTAAATTTTATTGTTTGAAAGGAATAGGTAGGGGCAATTTGTGTGTGTGTTTTTTTCAATGTTTGTACCAATTTATCATTATTATAAAGAAATAAAATTATGATTAAACATTTATAACTAGCTCATACTTTTAGCGACCCACTGATATTTTCTAGGTACCTTGGTGGCCCAATTCGCCAAAAGCCTGACCTTCATCATGACTTCTCCATATCCTTTGCTACAGACGTGGTTAAAACATATTATAAAAGATTTCATGATTCCTTTCTAAATCATAGAAATTCACTCATACACAATATCACTTCCATGTCCATTCATAGAAACCCTCTCAAATAGTTCAAGCATAAATGGTGTAGAAACTTATTGACAAATTATCAAATTATCAACGTCATTTTTTAAATCTATGGAGTATTATTAATGAATGATTCTCCGCTTGAGCTACAGTCACTGATGTCTATAGATAGACATCTGTGGCTACAGTTAATGATAAAATTTCATAATATTTATATCTATCGTATCATTCACATTTGAGTGTTACTGCTGGATAGCTACTCTTTTCAAGCTTTCATGCCTTGTATGCACATTTTTTTCTCCTCTCAATAAACTTATTGTGACTATAAAAGGTGTATAGATATTTTGTATCTAAAATCAATTTTCACCTGTAATCAATAATCCATTACCACAGAATTTAACATGTTAATAAATATAACCATTTTTTTTTTTAAATATTCAGTTTTTATCTACAAGCCGATTTATATATTTAGTAAATTAGCATTTATTGAAATTCAAAACAATTAATTAATTTATAGGTTTGTATATTAAGTGTAATATGATGAAATTATAAAATAATTTACCGACGTATATTGATTTTTATATATGAGTTAAAATATCAGTCTAGTAGGTAATATATTAAATTTGAAATGATATTATATCACAAAATCCACTGGGCTTTAATCAGTGGTTCTTCAAAGTTTAAACTGAACCTTTTGCGGTCATGCTTAACCCGTGTTAAAGAAGTTTCGGACAGTTTGTATATATAGATTGTGAATATTGAACACTAAAGTTATTTTTAAGAGAGTGTTATTAGAATTTTCCAGAAAATTACAGAGGAAAGCAGAAATATTGTATACTGCAAACTTCATAAAAAACATTGATTTTGGTTATTATTTTAATTTAATGAATGCAAAAAAAAATTATCATTTGAGGACTGGAAATGTTTGCAGGTTTTGGTATTATAATAGTATAAATCACATAATATTTTAATATTATACATTTATACTTTTTTCTATGTCACCTAATCTATTGTTTATTAAATAAAAACCTACGATGCCATAATACCTACTCTCTACTAAACCACAAACTATGAAAAACTTTTCACGATTGCATATAAATTGTTAAGGTTAATTAATATATAAATTAGTGAATACTCTCAAAGATAAACTATTATTCTATACTCAAGTGTTCAACTTTTACATATATCTATATATATAGATACTATAGTATATTATAATAAATAGTGTAAGTGTATGTAATAAATAATAATATTAAATAACTATGTTTACACACAAAAGCTATTACAACAGCAAACGAGAATAGGTATTAAGTTTCATATATATAGACATCAATTAAATAATTCTAAAAATGTATTCTAATTATTATTTATAAATTATTTTTTCTGACTTCTGGGTTTTTCTATTGATAGTTAAGTATATATATTTAAGTGTGTTTAAAATTTCCTGCAGCTTTTATTAATTTTGTTACCTAAACATTTAAAACAATAAAGTAGTTAAACTAAAAACATTACACATTTTATATTTCCTTCAGTGTATACATGCATATAATACTTAATAAGTAATGACAATGATAACGTTAGTACGTTAGGTGGTAGTTACCAGAGTCAGTCTGATTCATAATGGGGTCTCTGACCCAGTAATTTTGAATGAGCTTCGATGTTCTATACAAACTTTAGAAAAATATAACCACCGTCTTAGCAATGCGATGGGAAGATAATATAAAAAAGGATGTTGAACAGATGGGAGGTTCTTCCAATTGAAGAAATCTAGCATTAGATAGAGAAGGATAGAAGCTTGGTTGTGAGACGGGATGGTCTTAAAGGCCCAATAAACCAAAAAAAAAAAATATTAGTAAAAAAATAATTAATTTCTTTAAAATTATTTGTTATCTATTACAATTATTTAAAAAAAGTATAATCAACAATATTTTTCGTACGTTTTTTTTTTTTTTTTTCATTTAAAATGATACTTTTAAAACTTTTTCTTCTATAGATTCTAGTCGTCTAAACACCAAAACATCACTTGCATTTAATTTATTTTCATAAAACAATAGAATTACTGGACTACGTATTGAATTTATTGAATGGTAAGATTACTGCGAGAGTCTACTGTACTTTTTTTCCAATTTGTACACATTGAATATAAAATACATATTTAATTTTTTAAAAACATATGAATAACATATATTAAATATTATTAATAAATAATATCATATATATTATTAATTATTATTAAAATAGTAATATTTTTAATTTATTGTTGAAAAATTATTAGAAAATATTAATAGTTTATTTTTTGTTTATAAATTGAATGATTTTTTTTTAACAAGCAAACAAGTTAAATGATTCAAATATTGTAAACTCATTGAAGATTTGAGTTTAGTTTTTGAAATTT